TGTTTCAGAGACGAAAACCAGCTCAAGTCTTTGAAGCTCGGCTCCGTTTCGTGGCTTCAGGTCCAAACAGTGAAAATGAAGGTAAACGTGTCTGAGCAGCAGGAAACCACAGAACTTGTTGGGCTGAACGTCTGACCCGCGAAGCTGCTCTCTGAACCAGACTTACGTAAAAACAGGAACAAATTCTGTCGTTTTTTCTGAACCCCAAAACATTTTATTGTCTGACGTCTCCAGAAGATCAGCAGAGCGACGCCGTCCATCAACCAGAAAAAAACAGAAAGAACTGCCAGATGCTCAACTTTCCTGCCGTCTGTAAACGCACCGTGTGCAGTTACATCAAGAAGATGAACTAAATCTGAGCTTAAAATTAATGTTTCATCAGAAATCAATAGTAAATATTTTGCACCAAATCCTGTAGAAAACGTGACAAAACGTGGAGTTTGTGTTGAACCGTGTTCAGACACAATAAACACATGAAGAGTTCAATATGTAAGAAACTGACTCAACACAGATTTTCTTTAAGATAATGTCTCTGAATTTGTCTCTTTTAATCATTCAGGTTTTGATTCTTTTATCTCGTTTGTTAAACTACAACTAGACGGACACGCTGTGCATCCAGATCCATTCCTTCTCGGTGGAATAACTCTACGATTCGTTACCGCAGCGAGGCGCCGAACGCATCAAACGAAACTGCTCGGCTTCACCTTTCCAACGAGACCGGCTGCTCGTCTGTGTGACGAAGCGTCGCGGAGAAAAACCAGCTGGAATTTACATGTGCATGAATCCACTGTCTGTAAACAAGTCGCTGAGTTTTACAAATTCTGCTCATGGTTCTGGTTTCTGTGGATTCTAGACAATCTGTGCAACACAAACATGAACAGAAATCTCTCCTGACAGCGTTTGATGGTGAAAAACAAAAACGTCACGATTTTACACGACAGAACGTTGAATTTCCTTCATTTAAAGGCCAATATATAAAAATCTGCTCGTATTATGATCTGAAGTGATGGAAGATCGGGACGGACCGGGCGGTTCTGTAGAAACAGAGATGCAACTAGAACCCACAGTCAACACGATGAGAGCTGTGAAGTAAAGGCAGCATGAGAGCAACATCGTCAACCTGGAAATCAAAGCGATGAAGACGCCGCAGGTCGCCTTCATCCTTAAACACAAACATTACAGTAAAGCAAACTGTGATCCGACATCCGTGTTCCGGTCGGACCCGGCGCTCGGTGTCAACAGCCAGTCGAGTGTTTTCCTGCTGCAGGCAGAACATCAAACGCAGCGTTTCATTTTCCCTCTTTTTGTTGGTTTCACCCGATA